TTACAAATTAATAAGTGATGGCCCGGTTCTTAAACAACTTATTTTAAGCAGAGCAAACAGACACTCAGACCCAGCTGTATGTCTATATACTACTATATCAGACATATCTGAAGAACAGTAAGTGCTAAAATACAGGCAGAAGCAAAATGCTATGGATTCTGTGGAAACAGCATCCCTACAGACAAAATTTATCAAATGCAAAGGCAAGCTTAGAAATACCCTTTCTTGTGCAGGGCATGGGGGTTAGTAAGTTAGGATTCTCTGGCCTAAGGTTCTCATTTAAGAACAGAGTAGGAGGCAGTTAAGCTGTTAACACAGCTAGAGATCAGAAAGGTGGATAACTTGATACTGGGTTGGATGGGTCTATAAATAGAAAGTCAGTTAGCAAAGGGAGATTTGTTCCTAACAGAAATTACTGTAGCAAAGGAGAAAGGAATAAAGAAAACAAGATTTGCTAAAGAAATGTGTGAAAACTACTAATAAATAGCTACAGCTGTTACATCAAAGATTCATTGGGGCGGCTGGGTGGCTCAGTTGGTTAAGCATCCCACTTTGGCTCAGGCCATGATCTCACAGTTCGTGGTTTCGAGCCCTATGTCTGGCTCTATGCTGATAGCTCAGACCCTGGAGCCTCTTTAGGATTCTGTATCTCCCTGGCTTTCTGCCCCTCCCCCACTCATGCTCTGTCTCTTTCTGTTTCTCAAAAGTAAACAAAACGTTAAAAAAAAAAAAAAGATTCACTAAACACACAGACATAAATCTCTGGGGGAGGGGGATATCCTGAGCCAGCATCAATAACCACAAAGGAAGAGCTCGGTATTTTTTTTTTTTTTTTACACGTGGAATTACCCTGGATTCATTAATTTCAGGGAGGACACTGTATTCCTGTTTCAAATATATATATATCTGCACCATATATAGATTATACCCTAATATTTCCTTGAATGGTAACAATGAAGCCTCTCCCGACCTGATTTGAAGTTACTACCCAATGAGAGGCAATAGAGCAGATTTTTAAAGTTAGCTTAAATCTATTAAAAAGCAGATTAAAACACACACTCTGGAGCTAGACTACTTTGGGCAAGTTTCTTCATTTCTCTGTGCTTTGGTTTCCCCGTGTGCAAAATGAAGATAAGCATTTCCCTCCCATAGGATGTTCATGAGATTTAAACAGTTAGCACACGCAGAACGGTCAGAATTGAGCCCAGCACAGAGTGCTATGTAAGTGTTAGCAGTCTTGCTGCTGCTGTTGCTGCTACCACTGGAGGTGGAGCTCTCAACAAAATGTAAAAGAGAAAGCTAGAGTACCAAGGCCATTGCCTGGAAGAAAAGCCCTAAGAGGAGGCATCTTCAACTCTGTATTGAGGAAGGGTTACTCTTTGGTTCCCTGAAGTCCTGAATCACTTTGGGGAATGCAGGGGCAGTGTGGTAACAACAAATTCTGCTATTAGAATTAAGGAGAGGCCATCACTGCTGGCTGTACTTTGCTGGCTGCTGGGAAACATGAAAGACAGCAAAGAGAGGGGTGACAATAGCAATTCCCTAGGAAATCTACCAGGAAGAGTATTAAGATCTAAATTTTGGCATTTCACTCTTGGATAGTTGCCACAGAAGTTACTAGGAAAGTTGTCCCATCCATGGCCCATCCATGAAAATATGGGCCAACCAGTCCACAAGATACCATCAGAACCAATTCTACTAACACAAGGGGACACAACAGAGAAACACCACCAACTACTCTCATGACAATTTTTTAATTGAAGGGGCCTCCGTATGACACTATTTCCCAGTGTTTTAAGTGTGTTGTTGTCAAAAAATCAATGTCATGTCTTTGAAACAAGTCCAAATAGCAATAGATCAGATGAAGATCACCCTTTTATCAGAACTAGCTATATTAAGTTATATTTCAACAACTAGTACCATTTCGAGTAACCAACTGAAACTTAAGTAGTAATTTGTCTCTGAAGATATTTGTGAAGTAAACAAAAGAGAGAATTTAAAACCTCTCTATTAGAAAGTGAACAAGAGAAACATGCCAACTATCTATATGTAATATTACCAATCTTAGCATAAAACAAGCTTACCCTGAGCATAGTATTTTCTATTGGATCAACAGATAATCTTCAAAAAATAAACTAATATTCTGAGAAGTGCAGAGAGCATTTTAATGGATTTCCCAACATCTACTCCTTGCCAGTTGTTTAGTAATAATCATGATAATCTTGCCACTCACCCCTCTACCACTACCCCCACCAATGATTATTTTCCGAATGGTTGGGCCCGTGCCAACTTAGGCCAATGGGATCCAATGTTTTGGAAGTTTCTGGGAAAGAAATGTTCTGGCTCTAAACAGAGTGCCATGAAAAGCCAGTGTCTGTCACCCCCCAAGGTCATAAAAGAGAAAGGAGGGTTCCAACTTCTCTTGACAGCCACCCTACAACCAGGAATTTAAATCTTCCAATGATACCAATTACTATGAGAGGCAGAGCTGAGATGGAGAAAGAACCTGGATCGTTGATGACCTACTTCCAGACTTCCTCTTAAATGAACTATCAAGTTCACTCACTGCTTAAATTGGTTTTATATTTGTGCCCCAAAACATCCTAATTTACAAATTTTGCTTTTCAGGCTTTTTACTGTGTAAGAATGTCATCCATGTTCACCAGAAGACTAGCAAAAAAACAAAACAACAACAAAAACTACCCTATTTTAAACAAACTGATGCACCTATCAGATTCATTAAAATAAATAGATTTTATTGACAGTTACATAGGAATATTCCAATAACTCTAATAATTTCCGGGCATTTTCCCTTTACTATTTACCAATAAAGTAGAAAGTTAATCAAAACATTTAGAAACATCAATCTGACATAAAATTTTAGTTATATAGTAGCATTACTTTTTAAAGCACAAAAAGTGTAACTTGTTAGAACCAAAAATATTAGTCATATTCATACTATTTAAGCCACAATTAAAATAAAGACAGTTACTTATACCTTTAATGTAGTTGGCTTCAGCTTTATTAAAAATCTGTAGAGGGGTGCCTGGGTGGCTCAGTCAGTTAAGCATACCGACTTCAGCTCAGGTCATGATCTTACGGTTCATGAGGTGGAGCCCCGTGTAGGGCTCTGTGCTGACAGCTCAGAGCCTGGAGCCTGCTTCAGATTCTGTGTCTCCTCTCTTTCTCTCTCTCTCTGTACCCCTCCCCACTCATGCTCTCTCTGTTTTTAAATAGTACTTAAATAACGTTTTTAAAGTGTTAAAAAAACTTTCTTAAAATCTTTAGAATTTGCTGCCCGTGAGTCATCTTAATGGCATACATGGGTAGAATGGATTAATCGCAACCTACAGAGAGGCTAAAGTGTTCATTTTAGCTATTTGTTATATCCCCAACCTCACTGGGCTGGAGAAACTATTAAAATACAAATGAAGAGGTTTCTCATGAGTAGTGATTTAAACAATAACAACAGTAAAAAGGCAAGAAAGGAATAAAAGAAGGGCAGAAGTAGAAGATAAAAACTGGAATAACTAGTTCCTAAAAAATGGCAAAGGGCAAAGGGAGGAAGGAAGGAGAAGCCACTCAGAAGTCCTTATGGAAAGGTCACAATGTCTCCGACACATGATACAGATCGGATGTTATATAAGGCAGATTGATCCTTGTAACAAAATCACTTTAGCATGCATCTAAAATTATAGAGTACTCATGTTTTACAAAGGAATTCAGCCTGTTTTACAAACACATCAGGTGAGCATCACCCACCTTAGCTAATGTTATGGTATAGGTATTCTGAAGACTTATTCATACCATAAATACACTAAAGAATAGATTTAAATTGGAGCTGAAAAAATAATGCATCCATTTCAGTCTTCAAAGGGAACTTAGCTGTGCCCAGAAAGAACGTAAATAGACCAACTTTAATACACGTAGGAAAGCAAAAGATAACCTTTTTAATTTGAAAAAGCTTCCTACAACCTATGTAGGCTCACTCCTCGCCTGGGGACAAACCTGATCACAGCTATAGTTCAAACAGGCCAGAAGTATAGCAGGCAGGGCTGGTGGAGTCAGGAACATGTGTGACTTCATACCTAAAATTAGCCAGGTCCATTTCACCACAAGCTGGGTTGGGCTCCTCTATTTTAAGGTGTGCAGCTCCAAATTGCTTAAGAGCATATAATTGCTGGCCAGATTCTGGAGCTAAGAGTGTCAGCAGACCTGCCACCAAGTCTTTAGAGTGGGCAAGCAGTCCACAGGATCCCACACTTAATCATCATGATTTATCTACAATCTAAGTACACTGTAAGTGAAATCACACACTGGAGATATCCATGAAAACGTATCACACAAGGGCATGAAAACGTATCACACAAGGGCACGTCAAAAAGGAAGAGAGAGCCCTTCCTCTTTTGTACCACACCTCCCCCTGATGCACACATATTACATATGACAAATTGGGGGAAAAAACTGACAAAATTATTTAGAAGTGACAGCTGAAACCATTCCAAGTAATGTCACACTATTATTTACCTCCCTCGGAAAGTGCTTTGCTCCTGGGGTAAATCCCACAGAAGGGGCTACTCAGTCTGCACTCTGCATTCTGGAAACATTAGGAGGGAACTGGTGTGGTCCCCATTGCTCTGGTAGGAGAATTTCCACTAATGTTTACAATAGGGGCTAACTTTTAAAAGACAAATGAAAGAAAACGACAAGCATGCCTTCCTGCGAAAACTAACCATCATTCTACCAACAAATGGTAAAGCTGAGTTCTACGGCCTTAAGGTACACCTGAAAATTAAGCTGTACAGATGACATTCACGATTCCTACAATCTCATGGCAAAGACCTAGCCATCTATTTTATTAACAGCAGTTTGAGATGCTACATTCAGAACATACAGTTAGTGCCACCATTATCCTGATACTATTATGTTCTGGTAGGCTACCACACTAACGCTTGTTTTGATAGACTCAACTATTTTAAGAATTAACAAAACACACATACCTTCATTTTCAGAGGCATGACATTTCACTTTCAATACCAAGTCAAAGGTTCTCTCTGGATTTTCCCTAAAAGAAAAAGAAATTTGTGGTATTTATTTCCTATGACAAATAACTAAGCATCTCTGCAGAGTTTATATTTTCTTAACTCAAAAAACTAATCTTGGTCTTGTTGCAATATGTTCCATTAAACTATATGAGCACAATGTAGAAGATACCGAAGTTTTTTCCCAATTCAGTAATGTTAAAGGCTTAGGAGTTCTGAGACCTGCAGCAAACATTTAACCTCAGCCTGTTTTCTCACCTATAAAGTGCCTTGTTCACTTCGAAGAATAATTGTGAGGATTATATATCAACTAATATATATGGAAGTACTTTATAAAGTATTCAGTGCTGTATAAATGTAAAGCACTGACTTTATCTCATTGAATCAAAACTGGAAAGCCAGTACGCTCCTAAGTATCTCTACCTTTTCCTGCCAACAAAGCTGGCCAGCAGGTTCTCAGGCTTTTTTAAAAAGACTTTCAATATAAATGTAAATGATGAATACCTGGTTCCACCTGCCACATTCTAGACCACCACAGAACAGTCATAATGCTCCTTAAGTGTGACACTTTACATATGCTTCTCTTGAGATGTAATTACTGCCAACCATGTTTAAAGTAGCAAACCATACGTAAACTGCAAGGCTAACAACAAAAACCTTGCTTTATGTCGATTATTTTTGGAGAAATCACACATCTGCCTCAATATTAGAGTTTCCCACCAGGAACAAAAGGTTGCTTCATTCTGAAGTTATCCACTTCTTTACTAACTTTTCATACACTCAACCTATTAGTTTAATTTCAAAAAGCAAGTTTACATCTAGTGAGACACATTTTCTAACATAGTTCTGTTTTAATGTCTTTCTGCTAGAAGATAAAAGATTAGGCAAAATCTGAGACCACAATGTCCACGTGACTGAAGTGTTAATCTATCTGTTATTCCTGCTAAGGAGACCTTAGTGTCTTTGCACATTGGCTGTTTTTAATATGCACTTCATTCAATAAAGTGATGCCAGTTTTGGCTTCTAAATAAACATGAACTTTTCTAAACTTATTACAAGAATCTAAAATCACAGGAAGTGACAAGCTATATAAATTAATTTGGAAATATACATATCCTCAGCCCTCCCACTATTAACTTGTTTCAATGGAAATAATACAGACTTAGGTGACCTCCTCCCTCATAATCCAATTAATGTCATAAAGTATACCTTTTAAATCACTTATGCTGCCCCCACCCATATCAAACACTGAAGAAAATAACTTTAAATCACAAAATTTTCCCCTTTTCTTAGTATTTTTTACAATCTCTCTTAGGTGCAAAACAGTAAATATTGATTCAATTATACTGTGAAATTTTACAAGCCTTCCACACTAATACAAATATAAAGAGTACTCATTATTTTAAATTGGGGGGGAGGGGTGTGAACAGGGAGTAAAGAAGGAAGAAAATCTTTGCAAAGTAACTTCAGGAGAAAAAACAAAAAACAAAAAAACCTAAAACTCATACCTCTAAGACGCAAAACAAATCACCACACTTACTCAAATTGCTTTTTACATAATCAGTGTCCAGATGAAAAACATCCACTGATGTATACTTTAGCATGCACATAAAAATACCATCTAATTGGATACCATTTTGCAAGTATCGTGCATACACCTAGTGCCTACGTAAACAAATATCAGAGGCCAAGTGAATAAGAAAAACCGGAGGAAAACCTCTCAGATCAACTGACAACTGCACTTAAAAATGAAACGGTTATCTTCGCCTTAGGAAAATGCTTTGAATATGAATCGCTTAACCTCAAGGCTGACGCCCTCCCGGACACCAGACAACCGACAGTCACGTCTGCCACACTCCGGGAGGAACAAGAAACCCACAGCGGGTGGCGGCAGGAGCCGCCAGGCCTCCTCCAGCACCTAGAGACGCGGGCGTCGCCCCGGCGCTGCGGGCCGCTCACGGAGGAGCCCCGCCAACCCCGGGACGCGGAGCCGGGCAGGCTTTGCGGCCTAGCGCTGTCCCGCC